GCAGGGAGCTCGTGTGGGGGGCACCCGTGGCCAGGCCCTCGGGAGACGTCCAGGCAGAGCACGCTCAGGGCCACAGCCTCGAGGGCATCAAGGCTTGGTAGCTGGCTCATGTCTGCCACAGCTGCTTCCAAAGCTTGAGTGCCGATGGCTCCAGGGGCCTCTGGTCCACTGTCACCAGGGACTCCCAAGGGCTCCAGACCACCTCGCTCCTCAGACGGAGACACGAGGCTCAGGGAGGGACCAGACCTGACAGACCCTACAGCTGCCGAGTCACAGACACCGGTGAGCTGCTGGCAGTCTGCCCAGGGAATGGCTTGCGGGCCAGCTGTCCACAGGGAGTCCAGGGCGCTGGGGCAGCCGCCTGCCTCGTGCTACCTCGGGACACCCCCGAACCCTGAGGGCTACACCTCAAACACCCAGCAACTACTCTGACCTTGTGAGCACTGGAAGAGGGTCAGAGCCAAGGGCAGGTGCAGGGTGTGAAGGCAAGGGGGTGGGCAGTCTTCCAAGGGGGTGCAGGGGGTGCTCAGGCCAGTCCGGTGGGAGCTTGGTGTCAGGAATTACAGGGCCCAGTGTGACCCAAGGTCACTGTCACCCAGGTCCAAGGGCCTCGGGGCCCCCACACCCGCTCTCCCTCTGAGGTCCCTGGGTTTACAGTGCACACAGCCTCACACTGAGCCCCGCACACGCACAGGTCTAAGACCACCACCTGCAGCCCTGTAGGACAGAGCTCTGGGAGCAGATGGGGTGACAGGCTCCTGAATCCAGAAGCTCTGGACACCCTCTGGTTGTGCACCTGTAGGTCACTCAATCCCACCAGGCCTCGGCTTTCTAGACTGTAAAATGGGCTCACATTCAGAGCTTAGGCAGTGAGGATTGAGTGACGTTGCTGGACGTGTGAAGGGACCTTCCATAATAGTGGTTCTTGCCCTGAACGTCCCAAGGCATCTCCAGGACCGAGACAGGAGGCAGACAGCTGGCTCCCTCCCTGCCACACCCACAGACCCTGAGCAGGAGGCCAGAAAGCATTCTAAAGCCTGGGGGAGATGGGAGACGTCTGCATCCATAGCAGGGCCTCTGTCTGCACCAAGGACGCACACCCACCCCGGGCAGCACTGGCAGGGATGACCGGGAGCACCAGCACCAGGGAGCTCAGCAGGCCAGAGAAGCACTGTGACGGCATTCTGAAAATGGAACTGTCAGCAGGCCCTGTGTGGGGAAGAGGGAACGGGGACGTTACCAGAACCTCCGCCTCAGGTCCTAGTCTCCTGCTAGCCACAACAGCTCAAGGTGAATTTTAAAATAGGTAGACGGAAACGAGACTTAGAAGAGGCTGAGCTTTGGCCTGATCCATGCTGCTCTGGGCAGCACAGACCCCAGACCCTGAGCTGGCCACACCTCATTCGCTACATCTGGGGAAACAAAAGTAGCAGATGACTCAGAGGGGCGGTGATGACCCGAGAACAAGGAGGCACTGTATTGAAGAAGATTTGGTTCCTCCCAGGATGTCTCCAGCTGGTGCAGTCCTGCCGTGGAGCATCACAGCATCACAGGGACATTGAGGTCTTAGCTGTGACCCCAGCCCAGAACAAAGATGTCTCAGCATGCTGTAGCTGGCCTGTAGGCAGGAGAACTAGACCCTAAGCATGATTTAATTATGAAACGATTTTCCACCAAAATCGTGCAAAATTGCTCCCAGCAGCCTTGCACTGGCTCTAGACAGACTGACAGTCTGCTAAAGGGAGACCGAGGGGCCTCACGTAATGCACACAAGTATCCAGGATTCTGCTGAAAAATTACTCCTCACAGCAAGAACCATGAAGTTAACTACTGAGGTGAAAAAAGACAATCAACAGACAATAAGAATGAAATGTCGGAATTACCTAGTAAGGATTTTAAGACATATGCCATAAATACTTCAACGAGCACGTACAAGTCATTTTGGAACAAAGGACAGCAAGAAAAAGTCCCACCAAAGAAAAAGAAATTACTTTTTTGGAAACTAGAACTGAAAAATAAAGTAACCAGAATTAAAAATCCACTGGATGCATTCAAAAAGAGAACAACCAGGTACGAGAGAAGGGAATCGTGTCTGCAGATGGAACAGAGAGGGCAGCAACAGCAGGAACAAGAGAAAGGACAAAGTGAGCAGCACTCCGGGGACTTGGGCATGGTGTTGGTATCACTGGATTCCGAGGAGAGGAGAGAGAGTGAGATTAAAAAGTATCAGAGAAGTGTGACACGGCACTGCAATCCCAGAACAGGAAGATTGCAAGACCTGACCTAAAAATAAAACAGGAAAAGGGCCGGGGACGTAGATCAGTGATAGAGCACCCCTGCTTTTGATTCCCAGTACTGCAAAATTCAGAGAAGCGATGGCTGGAAACTCACATTTTGCAAAAGTGACAAACCTACAAATTCAAGAAACTGAATGAACCTCAAAGAAATCCACACCAAGACACATCATAATTTTGTTTCATATTTTTGAGACAGGGTCTCACTATGTAGTTGAGATGACCTGGAACTCACTATGTAGCCCAGGCTGGTCTCGAACTCACAGCGATCCTCCTGCCTCAGCCTCCTGGTGCTGGGATTACAGGCTTGCACCACCACGCCCGGCAAGACACATCATAATTAAACTCCTAAAAATTAAGGACTCAAAAAACCCACAAAAAATAGACACCACCATCCTGAAACTACTCTGAGAAAAGATGAGACACACCCAACTGAGGGACTGCAGATTTTGCAGCCAAAACTATGACAACCAGGAGGAAGTGGCACGTCTCTCAGGGGTGAAGAAAAAATTGTCAGTGTGGATTCTAGAGTCAGCAAAATACTCTTCAAGGTGGATGAGCAATAAAGACTTTCTCAGACTCCAGAGTGGTTAAACGTGGAGCCAAATGTAATGTATCAGCCTTCTTTTCTCAGTCTCTTTGATCATATTTGCCAGTTGAAGAAAATGCATTACAGTGTCTGAGACAGGTGCCCCAGCAGGTGGAAGGGAGCCCTCCAGCAGTGAGGTCAGGGGTGTGTGAAGTGGCCTCGTGGAAGTCGGGTTTCTACGCTGCCTGGTGCAGGCAAAGGCCGGGACTGTGGACGGCAGCCCAGGCGCAGGGATCTGCCCCTGTTCCCTGTGTGTCCGGGTCACGGCGGGAGGTGTCGGACAGGTTCAGTGAGGGCACCTGCTGATCTTAGAACCGAAGGGCAGTCTTGTCCAGGTGCTCCTGTCCAGCTGAACACCCTGGAGGGCTTGGAGAAGCCTGAGCACTGGCCAGAGTCCCATCCGTGGAACTCTGACTCTGCAGGTCTGCAGTGGGGCTGATAATCTGTGTGTCTGATGAGGGAACCCAACCAAGTTCCCTGGTGAGGTCAGTGGTGCTAGCTGGGGACCCACTTTGAGAAGCCCTGCATGTGGCATCTTCAGCTCAGGGGCAGCTCATGTCTCAGCTGAACACTGCTCCAGGGTCCCAGAGTGCCTGGCTCCATGCGTAACTGAGGAAGCAGGATTTTCTGGACTGTGTCTCCCTCCGGGTTTGCTGCTACTGAGCTGTGTGACCTCAGGCAGGTACCCGTCTGTCTCTGGGCTGGGCCACTCACCTGGGGGGACCCCAGAGAGGGTGAGGCAGTGGGGAGCAGGCCGGCAGCCTTGGCCCCAGGCCCCTTCCCCAGCTCTCTCCTGTTCATAGTTCACCTAAAAACTCATGTGACGAGAGGGCTCCTCTGCTATGAGAAGTTTGGGGTCCCCCAATGTTGATGCAAGGGCTTCTGCTGACCTGCACCCTTCCCATTGCCACCCTGTAGCAAGCAAATCCCGAAGGCAGGTCCCCAGCTGAGGCCTCACCTGCCAGCTTCCTGTGGTCCTTACAGTCTCTTCCTTGTCCTTACTGGGTCCCAAGGAGCCCAGATGAAAGGCACTGGGTCTGCCCCTTGCTCAGAAGCCTGGGGGCGGGCAGGTAGCTCTGTGTATGGAGGCACAGCCCCGTTCTCTGTGTGTGCACAGAGGGCTGATCCCAAGCCCCTGCCGCTCTCCCAGGGCAGCCCAGGGGCCCAGAAACGAAAGGCCAGTCTACTTGGTGTGTGGTTGGTCTGCACTGCTGGCTGCCAGCGAGGGACCTGGCGAGGCACTGTGGCACCTGCTCTTGCGGCTGCAGGCCTGTGGAAAGACAGACCACTCAGGGACAGGCCTGTGAAGGATGTTCCCAGTGGGGTTGCAGGAGGCTGTGCCATGGCCCCCCCACTAGAAGGTGCCCCACCGAGCCAGGCAGTCCGCTCTATAAGGCTTCCCTCTGCACCCCTGTGAGGACATCAAACTAGGAGGTCTCGGCCTAGCCTCTCCTGACCATGCGGGCTGCCAAGGCTCCACACAGGAGGTCAGGAGCCCAGGGCCCAGACCAGCCCTTTGGATACAGCAGAATTGACAGTTGGGATTTTAATGTGAAGATCCCCTTGCTCTAAGGAACTCTGGGGATTTTTTTTTAGAAAGCAAAATTGTCATCCACGCATGGTAGCACATGCTTGTAGTTCCAGCTACTTGGGACGCTGAGGCAGGATGATTCCTTACATTCACAAATTCAAGACCAGCCTAGGCAACATAGTAAGACCTTGTCTCAAAAATGGAAAAAAGGAAGGGAGGGAGGGAGGAAAGGCAGATTCCTCCAGGCCCCGTTTGGCCAGTGGTAGCGTGCCTTTGCCGCCCCTGTTCCCATGTGCCAAGACCCCGATGCGTGTGGAGAGCGAGGGCTGGCTGGGGTGACAGATGAGCCCGAGGCTCCCGCCCATCATGACGCAGGGCCAGCCGTGCTCCCCGGGCGGTGGGTAGGCTCAGGTCGCCACCCTGCCCTGACCTCTTCCTCGGGGACAGGAGGTCCAGCTGGGGGAGAGACCCTGGGGCATGCTGCGCGTCCCACCCTGCAGCTGTGTCCCCTCCGTCAGGGGCCGGCCAGGGGGCCCTCTCTCCAGCGTGCTGAGCGCATGACCAGGCTGTGCTGTGTCTGTTTCAGGCTTCCCCTATTCCAAATCTGACTCTCCCCCAGGACCCGGGAAGAACGGCTGGGACCACAGGGTAGGTACCTGCTCCGCGACCACCTATACTAACCCAGACCCAGGCCCACAGCTTCCTGACCGCACAGCCGGGAGGAGAGGCTGTCACCCTGCTTGCCCGCCCGCCCCCACTCGCTGCTCAGCCTGGGGCTGCCGCCGCCACTGCTTCTTCCGTGCCAGGACCAGACCAGGCTGGCCACCTGTGCCCCCCCTGCTCTGCCCAGGAGCCTCAGTGTGTGAGCACCCGACACTGCGCGCCTGACTGTCCTTCCTTTCCTGCGCTCAGCCACAGGGCCGGGCTGACTCACTGATGTCGTGGGTCTGCGGGGCGGTGCCTGGGGTGGGGAGGGCCTCATGGTGCCAGAGCCACCTCCTGCCTTGTGACCAACATGGCCTCCATCACCCAGGGCATGCACCTCTCAGAGAGGCCACTAAGAGCGAGGCTGTCGCCACTCTGCAGCAGCTGTGACACTGAGCGTGTGGCCCAGAAATGCCCTGTCCCTGGGGTGAGGGCCACTCCAGAGGTCAGGGGACCCCACCTCCCAGAGCCACAAGTGACCCCTCGGGCTGCTTCTCTGTCTTCCTCCGCCTCAAGCCGACCTGCGCTGGGTTTTGGTGCCAGGCCCTGCCTCCAGGATCTCCTGCTGTCCTCTGCATGGTTGGTTTCTAGCGGATCCTGATCCTGTCCCCTCCTGCTAACCACTCTTTCCTTCCCAGAATGGGCCATGCCGGGGACCACGCATGGGGCCTGCTCCGAACCTCCTCCCAAAGGCTTCTCCCCACTTTATTTTCCACAGGGAAAGCAGGGGACAGGAAAGCAGTACCCAGGACCCCTGTACCGCTAGGATTGCGAGCCCCCTGCTCAGGGTCAGGGGCCAGGGGCTCTAGGAAAACTGTCTAGAATGTTCTCTTCTCACCTGGAACAGCTGTTCTCTGTGCTGCAGGGCACAGAGCTCACGGTGTGGACGCAGCCACATCAGGCTCAGGGCGAGGGAGGTGCGTGGGGAATGGCAGGCTCTGCTTCACACAGCAGCGGCATCCGCAGAGCTCAGCTGGTCCCACATCTAGCAGGACTGTCGTGGACCTGCCAGGGCCGTAGAGGGCCGAGTCTTAACCTTTGCAGGACCAGGCACTAGCCCTCCTATGAGTGTGCTTCCCCTGTGCCCAGCATGGGGTGTCGGTGCCCGCTGTGCCCTGGCGGGGCTCTCCAAGGTGCATGCGCCCTCTTGATGACCCTTCGGCGATCTCACTGGTGCTCAGCTTTGGGATTTTGTTCCTCTCTACCGCTCGTTCCCTTTTTTGTGTGTGCTAAGACCGTTTTTTTCTTTGCACCCACTTTGGGCAGGACGTCCACATGCCTGTCCTGCCCGGTGACCCACCTTTTGCAGTGCAGCCACCCCAGCTGGACCCAGGTCCTCACCTGGGATTCTGCTGATGGCCTGCGGTTCCGAGTCATTTACTAGGGGGCTCTTGGTTTCTCTTACTTGCAGAAAGAATTCTGGGAGGGCAGAAGTAAAAAGCACAAATGAAGGGAAACTGAAATCCTATTAGGATTAAATCACAAAAGGAAGAGAAAGAGACTATAGAGGAAAATTAATCAAAAACAAAGAAAAGGGTAATGAGCTTCCAGAGAGCCCTGGAGCTGACACAACTGTGACCTGGACCACTAGTGTGGTTCTCATTGTCTGGTGGTAGGAAAGGAAAAAGGGGTTTTCTCCAGGAGGAATTGTTAAATAAGGGGCCAAAGCACCACACGAGTCAAAGGTCCTTGAAAAGGCCTGGTAACCAAGCCTGTGTGGTAGACAGATGCTCACGACCTGCCTGTGAGGTGGATAGAATAATAGGTACTTACCACAGGTGTCCCTGGGGATGAGGCAGAGAGATTCCAGTGAGGGCCACCTGCAGGTCCGTGGAAGATGTTCCATCTGGAAAACATTGACGTTAGATGTGAACAGACAGATGCAATATGGAACGATAGAGGGTTAAAAAATACCATTGTCAGAGTAAGGAATTAGAATTACAAGATACACAATTACAGTTATTTTTAAATAATTAGAATTAAAATGATAAAGAGATACTAAAATCACAAATACAAAGAAAGCGGGAATAGCAATGTTAGTGTCAGGTAAGATGGAAGCTAAAAGAAACCAATAGAATTAATAGCATGAAAAGGGAATCCTGATGCATGCTAATGGGGCTATGTGATATAGCAGGTATAGCATTTCTAAACTTAACGCATCTAGCAACACAGCCATGCCAGACACCTTGAAAAAATACAAGGTAGCTACTTTGAATACAGCTCTCTTGAAATAAGACATGAATTTATTGAACAAAGAAATGTATAGTACAAAGAATAGTTGAATAGTACAAATAGCAAGCCTAATCTAATAGGTATATGAGAAAAATACATATCTTGAATCCAGTTTTCACATATTCACAAAACATTTACAAAACATATGTCTGTACAAACATACATGATTCGTTAAAACAAAATTACGTTTGTCTATAATCTGGAAAAACAAGATCTTAACAAATTTAAGAAGTCTGAGATTTCAGAACTATAATGCTGGAAAGATTACATACCTAGGTGACTTGGAATCAGATGGCCCTGAGTTCAAATCCCCACTGCCTTTGAACAGGTTAAATTTTCCGAGGCTTCATTTCCTAAAATTAAAAAAAAAAAATCCCTACTCTTTCAGTTATGATGGAGATAAACAACATCTTGGTTGTGAAATGGTTTCCTGTGTTCCATACCATGATTCCCATGCGAGCCATTATTTAAAAGCAAGTCCCTACCTGCTTTGCCATCCATGGCTGCTGTGAGGAGACATAGTTCCAGCACAGCTGTAGCAAGAAAGGAATGGCAGCCAGGGCAAGTGATGCTTATCTTGTCTCTGTCAGTAGTGATCTCAGTACAATTTTCAGAAAGTAAAACACATGGGCTCAGAGCTCTCCAGGCCCATGTGCTGGTTGTGTGGTCCGGGAAGGATGTTTAACCAGACTCAGCCTCATTGCTAAAGTAGGTGACCATGCTCCCTCCCAAGCCACGGTGAGATTAGAGAATGCTCTGCAGAGGCCCTGGGCGTGCGCGCCAAGGGGGAAATGCACAGTTCAGTTCCTTCACCGTCCCCAGCAGCTCCCCTGAGAGCCAAGGGGAGGCTGCCGCCCAGGACTCACTGGGCCTGAGCTCTTGCAGAGCCCGGCCCCTCTGTCCCTGGAGACCAGGACAGCCACCCTGCCAGCTGCGACCGATTCAGTGCTTCCCTCCTCCATCCCTGCCCGTCTGTGGCCTCAGGGCCTGGGAGACGGAGGAAGCTGGTTTTGCCAGGGTGGGGAGGGGATGGCCTGGGCCTTCTGGTGTCCGTGATGCGGGGCACCGGCACTGGGTGGCAGGGCCTCCCTTCTGTGTGCAGGTCGTAGGCTGGCTCTTGCTGGAGGGAGAGGGGGCTCCCTGGCGGGACAGGTGCAGCAGGGTGCTGGCTGGAGGCCTAGAGAATGTCTCAGCATCCTGCTCTCATAAGCTCCTCCCGGAAAGCGGTGGCAGTGAGAAGCCAGGGATCCGGGGTAGGATGAGGGTGAGGTGCCGTGAGCAGCGACACCCATTTGTGTGCTATTTAAGTACTTCAGTGAAGACCGTTGCAGCCTCCGCTGGTGTACTTATCCCACTCACCAGCCTCGTCCCTGCAGGAGGGAGGCCCGGCTTCTTTCTGGGCCTCGGTTTCCCTATTGCAGACAAAGGGTGCTGAATGTGGAGTCTTTTCCTGCTCCCACACCTAGGGCAGTGATGGCAGACCTTTCGGAGTGTGCGGTGATTACAAGCGGCCGGCTGCAGTACACGTGCCTCGGTTCGCCACTGCCGCTCCAGGGCCGCAGCCAGCTCCTTGCTGCCGGCCACCACAGCGCATTGCCACTGGAGCAGCTGTGCCCGTGACGGGACCCAGGCTGCACACCTGCCTTTCACCGCAGAGCTCTGCTGAAATGTCATCCCTGCACTGTTCCAGAAGCGCTGGCCACCAGCCCTGACCTGGTTTCAGTCGCTGTACCGGGTGTTGGGATTGGACGTAAATAAGACATTTTCTTCCAGGGGCTCAGCCCTCTGCAGGCAGCACACGTGCAGCCATGAGCAGGCACAGCTCAGTGCAAACGGCAGCTGCCCACGGTGGGAAGGGATGGACCGGAGGGGACGGGCGAGCCCCTGTGGGGTCCAGCTCGTGCCCACGGAGCTGGGGACCCTGCAGGGAGGTGGGCGGCTCTGTGGGTGCCTCCTTCAGGTGGGCAGAGGGGTCATAGCGCACTAATGTGCAGTTTGCTGGCAGATGCCATGGCACGTGAGGGAGGGGCGAGGGCTGTAGGGCTGTTGCCTCCATGTCTGTAGGGCTGTCACCCCTTGGGGTGATTGTAAGCTCCAGGGCCACTCTGCGGGAACTGCTGCTAACTGCACAGTCTGTGCCTGGGGCTTCCAAGCACCGGCTCCTTTGGTGCTCCACACAGTCACCCGTGAGGCTTCTGGGCGCCAGGGGAATGGCAGGGCCCCTCTCATCCTGAGCCTCGGCTGGGTGGTCTTTGGCTCACAGCACATTCCCTGTGCAGCTGGACCTGGGTTCTGGGGGCAGTGTGGGGAATGGGCACGGCCCCTGCAGGTGGCAGCCAGTGTGACCCCTTGGCTATCTTCTGGGGCACAGGGCATGGGGTGGATCTGAGTCCACAGAACACTGGGGACAGCGGGTGTGGCAGGAACAGAGGAAACAGAGCCCAGCTCCAGAGCAGGCCGGGCCCTGGGCGTCGAAGGTGCATCAGAGCCGACCCAACAGGCAGAGTCTCCGAGGCCTCGGTGCGGCGTACACCGGCAGGCCTGCGGGGCCAGCGTCCTAGACTGCTTTTCAGAGCTGTGCGATGGCATCGGCGGTGGTCACTTGCCTTCGGTTGAGGCAGGTGCCCTCCTTCCAGCTGTGCGAGGCCTGGGCCCTGCCTGTCCTGTGCAGCCCGCCTCTTGCCTCCCTCTCTCTCTTTCTCTTCCAGAATGCCAGTATGGCCCCTCGCGGAGCAGAGCCAGATGCCAGCTGGGGCACTCGAGGTACATGCCGCGGGATCCCGCGGGCCTCTGGCTGGGCTTGCTCACCCGTTCCCATCAGGCTTGTCTGAGACTGCTCCTTGGGTCTGCTGGCAGAAGGCTCCAGGTGCGGTGGGCGAGGTGACCAGGGGAGGACGCCTTTACCCACCCCAGCCTTTGTTACCCATCCAGGTGCAGGGCTGCCTGGCTTGTGGGGTGCTCTGCACACTTGGGGAAACAAACTGATAGCTCGAGTCTGCCTGAGTACACAGCTAGATCATCACCCGCCTCCCTGGCTCGCGTGTCTGCTGGCCTGTGGGGAGCCGGGAAGCTGGCTCTTACAAGAGTGGCCCCCCAGCCATGTGGCAGGTGCCGCTGAAGGGCTACCCTCCCACTCGGAGTGGGGTCCCAAGCCTGGCCGTCCGCCCTTCTTGCAGCCTCTGGAGATGTCGGGGTGGGGGGCTCCTGTAGCCTGGGTCCCACGTGGATGGCAGCATGGGACATCCCAGCCTTCTCTAAGTGACTGTCCAGTTCCCGTGTGGCACATGGGGGACCCCAGGCCTGGCCCCTCCCACAGGTCTCCTGCCTTGTCTTGGGTCCTGCGTGCATGGGGCCTCCTCTCCATGCGGTTTTATGTTCAGTAGGGAGAAAGGCGATGCCAGGGCTGGGGTATAGCTCAGTGGGAAGCTCTTGCCTTACATGCGCAAGGACCTGGTTCCATCCCCAGCACTGCAAAAGAGAAACTTCCAAAGCCAGGGCAGCCAGGGTGCAGAGCTCAAAGTTGAAAAGGAAGAGGAGTTAGGAAGGGCAGCAGTAAGAGGCTGGGGTGGAGAGTCAGATCAGGTAACAGCGTCAGTCTCCGAGCACCCCAAAAAGCTTTGCCTTCAGATGACCAATAAAAGTGGGTAAACCGAGGCACCCAGCTCCCTGGGCGGCCTGACCATCAGGAGAGGCGGAGTCACAGCCTAGTTTCCAGTCTGGCCTCAGCTCCTGACCATGCCTCCTGCTCTGTTTCCCTTGGGGAGCACCTGCTGCCCCCCCATGGCCCCAAGACCAGAGCCCCAGGCAAGCTGCTCAAGGGACTGGGAGACGGGAGTGGCTGAGCTGACTGTGGGGCCCAGGACGCCCCCAGGGCGGGTTGCTCCCCCACCCCCACCCTGTGGTCTCCACTTTTCTCTTACAGAGTACAAGGTAAGAGGGTGCCGCCCACACTGACCTCTTCCCGCCGCCGTGCTGCCCCAACAGGTTAAAAATTCCTTTTTGTTTGCTTCCCCACGAGACACGTATGTATCTTGGTTGCCTTTGGCTGGCTCTCTGGCCCCTGCGCAAGCTCGCTTCTCCAGGGGAGCCTGTGTTCTCCCCCCAGATCTACCCTTACGACTCCCTCATCGTGACGAACCGCATCCGCGTGAAGCTGCCCAGAGACGTGGACAGGACGAGGCTGGAGGTGAGGGGGGGCCGGTTCTGCCCGGGAGAGGTGCAGGGGTCCCGGGGTGTGGCTGGGCAGGAGCTCTGTAGCAGCAGCGAGCCCCACAGGTGTGGGGTCCCAGCTGCTGGGCGTATGGCTGCTCCGTGCTTCCGAGGGCCACGTCCACCGCGGAGGCCGCCCAGGTGGTGCTGGCCGGGAGACTCACTGAGCCCCAGGGACGCCATGAAGCTCCACTGCTGTGTGACGTCCTCACGGTCGTCCCACGAGGACACGACTGCAGTGGCCTCTCATCCCCAGCCCCTTCCTGAAGGTGGCACTGCACCTGGGGGGCTCTTTTGCCAGGGTGAGGGGTCTCCAGGCCCGTTGGGTCCCAGGCTGGGTGTGTAAGGAGGCGAAGTAGCAGGAGGTATGAAGGCCCCAGAGGACACCCAGCAGCACCCAGGGCCCAGGCACGGCCGTCTCCATAGGGGTGGCGGGAGCGGCAGGGCCCTGTATACAGGCACGGGGAGTCCTGCAGGGGAGGGGAGGGACAGGGCATCCCAGGCCAGGCCTGGGCGAAGGATCAGTGGGGCTGTGGGGTGCGTCCCCACACAGCAAGGGACCCAGGAGCTGTGGTAACTCAGCAAGCAGCAGGTTTCCTGGGCAGCTGGCTCCATACCCTCGGGCCTTGACGCCCACATCGCTAAGATGCATGTGTTGTCCACATGTGGTGGCACATGCGTGTCATCCCAGAACTTGGGAGGCTGAGGCAGGAGGATCACACTCGAGCTCAGCCTGGACAACTCAGTGAGCCAGGGCCTCAAAATAAAAAAATAAAAGAGCTTGGGATGCAGCTCAGTGCAAAGGGCCTGGGTTCACAAAAACAGAACACACAGAAGGCTTGCTTGAGGCACTGTGCAGATGTGTGGTTCTATGAAGCCCCTCACGGGATGGCAGCCCCAGCGCCCGGCAGTGGCTGCGAGGAGAGTGCTGAGCTGGCTAATTGGCTGCAGCGCCGGGAGCGGCACATCTGCCCCCTCCCCGCCTGTGTGACAGCTCATAGGGGTCTGACCCGAAGTGACTTGCGCACCGCAGGGACTCGTGGGTGGCTCACATGGCTGCTTGGTCAGGGCTGGACTGTGTCCCCAGGTACCCATTGCTTTCCTTCTACCTCTCTGCTGGCTCCGGGTGTGAACAGATTTCTCAGACTTGGCGTCTGCCGAAAGAGCCCCTTGTCCCTCAGCAGTCCTGGCAGAGCCCCCTCGGCCTCGGGTGATGTGGTTGCCCCTAAATCAACCAGCTGGACCCCAGGAAGGCGGTGCCCGACTAGTCACGTGCCTCGGCCTGGTGCAACATTCCACTCATGCCAGCTGAACTCAGGGACCCAGGTGGCTCCGGGGAAACAGACCTTCCCTGCCACCTAAGACAGGATGAGGGTGCTGCGTGCCAGACAGGAAGAGCCCACCACACGGAGCAGGGCAGGCGGGGGGCAGACAGCATGTACAGCCAGCCTCCACCACGGTGACCATCTGCAGCCAGGCCATTACCATGTGCCAGGCCGCCCCGCACCAGCAAAGTACCGGCAGGCTGAAGCCGGCAGCTTAGCCAGGCATCTGACTTTGCCCTGCAGAAGGGCACAGGCTGCGTGCCCGTTGGAATATTAGGATGTATGGGTCATCGTGGAGTGGGCAGCAGGGGCGGCTGGAGGCTGCTGTGTGGGTCCAGGGTGTCGGGAGCCCTGGGGCAGGGGCTTCGATGCTTGGCACATGGAGGAGCTGAGCCCGCTCAGGCCAGGGGGCGCTGCTGGCCCTTGTGGAGGTGCTATGTCCCTGGCACAGTCTGCAGGGGACGCAGGTGTATCCTGAAGCTGGGCGGCTCTGGGTGAGGAGGTGAGCTCCTAGGCAGTGCTCGGCGTTCACAGGATGCCAGCCAGCCACCTTTGGGGTCCCACTGCTGCCCTTGGGGCTGGGTGTGCCTTTGGCGAGCTCTGTTTTCTTTTTTGGTGAAAATTATTTTTTAATTGCAGCAGAATTCACCATTTTCAGCATTTTCACCCAATTCAAGGCATCTCATACATTTGCAGTGCTGTGCAACTGTCACCGCTACCTCATTCCAGAATATTCTCATCACCCTGAAAAGGAAACTCCACACCCACTAGTGTGCAGTCTCTCCCAGTTCCTCTCTCCCCACCCTGGCAGCCACAGGCTGTTTTCTGTCCCTGAGCACCCGCTGATGCTAGATGCTTCGTACACTGGGGTCTTCCAGGCTGAGGTCTTCTGTGTTTGGCTTCCTTCCCTCAGCCTGGTGCTGTCAGGTTTATCTGTGTGGCACCGAGTGCCAGGATCTCCTAAACTTAGACGCTACATTGTCAGGATGTTCCCCCTCCAGCCACAGCCCACCCCGGCTTCCTGGGGGTCTTCCGCTCTCACGGCCCTTCCGGGCCAGGCAGAGCCACGTGAGTGGAAAAGTCCCAGACTCCCCAGGAAGAGGCGTCTTGGAGGAGTGGTCACCCTCGCCCACCTGGGCCAGGGCCTGAGGAGCGAGGAGAGCACACCAGGCCAGGGAGAGTACTGGGTACCCCAAAACGTTCCCAGAAACATCTGCTGTAGGCTCCAGTCTCCTGCTCAGTACACGACACAGGCCTGAGAAAAGAAAACCTAAAAGACAGAACCAAGAGAGACAGAAAGCGGGGACCAGGACGGCCAATGCTGCTGTAATCGACAAAGCACCGGCCGGTCCAAGCCACTGATTTTTATCGGCCATCGGCTGGGGCAAGGGTGAGCTATGTGCGAGGGTGGAACTATGTGTGAGGGTGCAGTTGTGCGGCTTCTGTGGAGAGGAATGTAAGCAAGGCGGGTAAAGGACAAGACCAAGCATTCTCGATTTAGGAACAGAGCAGAGAAAATAGAAGGTTGGAATTAGCACATTGTCCTTCTAGTCAGAAGGTTTCAGTTGTGGGAGCGGAATTTGGGTGCGAGTGACTCAGACCTCAACACATAGGCTCCAGCCAGACTCACTTCTATAAACAGCCTGTTGTGGGGTTTGCTCTACAGCCTGCTCTGGGTTTCATCAATTGTGCGGCCCCCTGCAGGAAAAGCTGGGTGGGGCAGCCTCGTGGAGCTCGCCCTGACCAGCTGAGGCCGCAGTGAAGGTGGCCATGCTGGCACTGGGCACTGAGCAGCGCTGACTCTAGACCCTGAGGTGGAGGCAGAGGCTGTGGCCCCCACAGGCCAGCTCAGTGCACTGCCCAGTGCACCGCCCCATGCAGCCACCCCCGGAGCTGGGCACAGACACGGAGCAGTTGCTCTGAGATACACACCAGAGGGCCCTTTGCCCCTTGGCCACATCTCAGCTTCCTCAGCTGGAAATGGGGAGGGCGGGAGCAGCAGCCATGACAATGCCAACGAGACAATAAATACGAAGAAATTTAAGGAAATCGAGGAAAGAAGCCAGGCTTTCCCAGCAGGCAGACGCCCTGTCCAATGTCTTTTGTCTGCAGGGGAAGGGGTGCCTGGGGTCAGGAGTCCAGGGCGCTGGCTCCAGCTGAGCACGAGCTTTGCCTGTCCCTAGCGGAGTCTCCATCCTCTGAGTGGCAGAGAAGGGATCAGGGAGCCATCAGAGTTCCTCGGAGGCTGGCCCGGCAGGTGCAGACCTGCTCACTGCCCCTCTGTTTCCCTGTTTGAAGAGACACTTGTCGCCTGAGGAGTTCCAGGAAGTGTTCGGGATGAGCATTGAAGAGTTTGACCGCCTGGCCCTGTGGAAGAGGAACGACCTGAAGAAGAAGGCCCTGCTGTTCTGACGGCCACAGCGCCTCACCCCGGCCCAGGGACGGGAGGAACACGCCAAGCCCCATCACACCTCGCTCCGGCTGCTCTGTGTCATGGGGGGACGGGGCGCCTGGGGAGGCTGGGCAGGGGTGGAGGAGGCCCCGGCAGCACCCTCTTTGTGCCAGGGATACTCCTGCCTGTAGTTTATGGCTGTCACAAGCTTGGCCCACCTTTCCCCCTGCTGTGGCCGGTGTCAGGAGACACCATGGCCTGGCCGTCCTGGACGGTGACGCGGCCGCCTCGGGTCCTTGGCATGTCCAGCCCTGCGCTGGCCACGGGGGGCACAGGTGGCTGGGGTGCTGTGTCAGTGGCTGCTCGGGGCAGAGCGGGCATGTCCAGGCTGGCAGACAGCCCAGGTGGGAGTGTGGCGCTGGGCGCCCATGGTGGTGCTCAGTGCAGGGCGTGGGGGTGTGGGGTTTTCGTAGCCGTCAGCGACGGGCCTTTGGGGGATGAGGTGAGGCTAACAGAGAGCCTGTGCCAGAGTGCTACCAGGCCCTCACCCTTCTCCCAAATCACCCCTAGATGCCTCAGTGATACCTTTCGAGCTACACAGAAGTTTTTATTTTATTAAAAAGTATAGCTTCCTTCCACGCGAGAGAACATATCTACGCAGTTCAGTTCCAGTGGGAGGGCGTCTCCAGTCTCCCCACCCGCAGGTCTGTGGCTCCGACTCCGTTTCTCGTGGGCACGGCCCCTCGTCTGTCTCCTCGTGTCTCTCTTCCTCTGGGAGTTGCGCGACACCCCGAGGACACGCCCCTCTGATGCTGTGTGCAAATCCGTGTGAGCTGTACCCGCCCACCTTCCTTGCCGTCCTCCTGTCTCAGAAAGGAAACCTCCCGTTGGCCAAAGCCCTGGAATAAAGGTGTCCACGCTCCAACCTGGCCTCATGTGGCTCTGGGCGCCCCGTCTTCCGGTGTCCTCTTGCCCACCTGGAACACAAGCCACGCGCGTCCTGACACACACACCAAATGCTCTTGGGCAGGAGGGCAGGGGCGCTGCCTCTTCTGCAAGGCACCCACCAGGGCTCCCAGGGACAGGCGCTCACGTCTTGCATTTAGGTTTGGTCCACTGTGTGGCCGTCACAGTACCACAGGACTGGCCGAAGCCACTCTCCCCTCCTGGTGGGTCCCGCTTCACAGCAGCCCACTGTGGACGGGGATTTTTAGCACCAGATGCGCTTCCTGCCGCTCAGCTGTTCCAGCCTGTGTAACTGGAAACCCCCTTTCTCGTTGGCCCATGTTGGTCTGATCCCAAGGCCACCTGGGAAAATAAAAGACACCGGGCTATACCTTGGAAAGGCAGAGTTCAGCGTGTGGCCTCTGAAGGCCTGCGTGGGTCATGGGGGAGGCCTGGTGTCTGCAACAGAAACACACGGGTCCCACCCCGCCTCCTCCCCAGGGTTCTCGGGAGCCGTCCTCAGCAGCCAGGCCACCAGTTGGTGACTGGGATGTGTGGGGCCTGGCACCTGCTGCCCCAGGGCCGGTTGGGGAGACCGACTCAACTAGATCCGCGACTGACCCCTGAGGGACAGAAAAGGCACCCAGGAAGGCGCTCCCCAAGTGAGGCAGGGCCACAGGAGCCTTCCTGGAGAGGTGGAAGGGGCGGCACTCGGCAGCGGGGGCAGCACTGCAGGCTGTAGAAGCTGTGGTGGCTGGCTGTGGCTGAGCACAGGGCCGGAAGGAGAGAGAACCTGAGCAGTACCGCCCATCGGTAAATCCAGCTTCAGGGTGGGAGGGTGCAGAGCCTCCCTGTTTCCTGAGGGGCGGGGTGGCTCCATTTCCCCACTTGGCCTGTTCAGCTCTCCGCACGCCCAGTCCTGTGGGGTTTTGTGTTGACTTCACTCCTTAGGCTCCCTTGGTTACATCACTGGGGTGGTGGCCACAGCCTGCAGCCCCTCTCCTGTCCCCGAGGGTGGGCATGGGCCAAAAGTTCCCAGATCCTGGCCAGACCTGCCTGAAGTCACCAGGGGCTGCCAGCCCAGCTGGCTCCTCAGTGTACGAAAAGTCCCGGGGGAGAGAACTTTAGAAGTTTCACGCCGCGAGACAGGGAGACCCGTATCTGTTTCCCAGTGTCACACCTGCCGGCCCCCAGGGCCACTCTAGTGGGTGCCAATGGCATCGGCCTTCCCAGGACAGCGCCCGCCTGGGCCTATGTCAGAACGCCTGGGACAGAGGGACTTGCCAGGTCCCCTTCCCCGGGGCGTCGTGCGTGGCAAGGGACCTGGCTCTGAATACAGAAGCTCAGCACCCACCACAGCCCGAGGAGAGTGGGAGAGGCCTTCGGCCACTCACCTCACCCGTGGAGACGCCTCTCGTATGCCACAGAGGAGTGGGCAGGGCTGGGCTCCCGGAAGTGGCCCGCATGCGAGGCCTCCCGAGGAGGCTGGATGGCTGGGCTCCAGCTGGAGACAGGGGCGGGTGGACACTGCCCCTGTGCCAGTGAGCCTGGGGCTGCCCATCTGGGAGGCTAGGCACGGGGTGCACAGCGGCTTCCTGTCACCTTAGTTCTTGACACCGGATGGCCACAGCCCCACAGCCACGCCTTGGTCTGGTGGCTTCTGCCTGGCTCTGCCTCGGCCGTACCTCCGGCCCCAAAGTGCCCGAGCCGAGTGCACAGCGGCTTCCTGTCACCTTAGTTCTTGACACCGGATGGCCACAGCCCCACAGCCACGCCTTGGTCTGGTGGCTTCTGCCTGGCTCTGCCTCGGCCGTACCTCCCGCCCCAAAGTGCCCGAGCCGTGGCCTGCCCCACCCACAGGTTCCGGGCCCCACCCTGACCAGACCTGCCGTTGTATGTGTTGCACGTTTGTGCAATGACGTTGGTGAGCTCCGGGTCACCCTGGAACCTAGTCACCTCCCACAGCGCACCCTGGCCAGGTAAGTCGCTCACTGTGCCAGGCAGGACCACCTGCCCGGGACAGCCTCATGCCCGAGCCAAGGGGGTGCATCGTCCACAGGCGCCACCTGTAAGCCGGCGAGAGGACACCTGTGGGTGCCGGGGCTCTGCCAGACACATCGGGCCAGGCCAGGCCAGGTTCCTGGGTTGGGGGACCCAGCAGGCAGTGCACATGATATGGGGCCCCCAGCAAGGCCGGTGCCTGCCGGTTCCACCCTCCTGCGACACCCGGGGCCCTGCACCCCCAACTCATGCACCCTGACTCCTGCACTGTCACCCTCCAGCGCGTAGCCCGCTGTCTGCTGCAGACTGGCCGAGCCCCTGGGAGGAGCCCATCCCGCTGCATCCAGACTGCTGCACACCATCCTCCATCTGCTCCACCTCCCTCTCTGGCCTCCCTCACCCTTTTGTACTTAGGATTGAGCCACGCAGTCCCCACCACTGAGCAGTATCTCCAGGCGGTTCAATTTTATTCTGATACAGTTGCTCAGGCTGGTCTGAAGAGTTCAGTCCTCTGGCCTCAGCTTCCCCAGTAGCTGGGATTACAGGCCTGAGGCACTGGGCCCAGCCCAGCTCACCCTCTCCTCTTACAGCCTTGCTTCCTGAGCGCCTTCTCCCTCCCTCCCTCCCAACACTGTCCTTAGCAAAAGTTCTTCCCTCTGCCTACCATGCCCTGCCTGGCAAACTCCTATCCATCCTTCAGTTCCCCATGACTATCTCTCCCCCAACTGTTAAACCCAAATAACCCAGTTCATCAACAAAAATTTACCGAGCAGGGTGCTGACAAAAGGGAGGTGATCAGAGATCACCCTGACCTTGAGGAGTGAGCACAAACTGAAAAGGAGATGTCCAAAGCCAGGGGCCGTGCAACCCAGGGAAGTGAACTAGAGCAGGGGAGGAGCCCTGCAGGAGGGAGGCAGGCTGCTGGCAGGCACCGTGCAGAGTTCCCCTGGACGGAGTCCAGGGGCGATCAGGGGTCAGCCAGCGAGGGGCAGGGCCTGGGAAGGGCCTTCGGGGCTGGGAAGCAGCGCTGGCCAGGCTGAGGACAGGACGCTGGGAGGCGCCTCCAGGGCCCTAGTCCTGAGCTCCAGGCCTGCCAGTTCTGGGGGCGGACTCTTCCCATCTGCTGGGCCTGATGAGGTCGCAGCTCCCTGCCATGCCCTGCGTCGCCCCCTTGTGGACGGTCCGTGCGCTCCTCCTGCATACAGTGCCCCTCTGCGCCTGGGCCAGATCGGGCAGCCTGGCTGCTGGGGTCTGGGAGCCTCTCAGGCCCGTCCTAGGTCAGAGCCTCGCAACTCACTGCCCAACAGCCGCTCCCCCCAGCTCTCCTCCCCTCTGCCACTCCCCAGGACAGCTCTCCAGGCCTGGCGTCAGGGTCCACCTGTGGGCAGCGCCCGGGCCCAGAAACCTGCATTTCCGCCACCCTTGCCTGCCTGCGTTGTGCGTCTCCACATCACACAGCCACGCCTGAGGACCGAGCATCCTCTGATGCCTGACGTGTGGCGCCTCCAACTAGGCCCTTGTTGCCAAACCTCTTGCCACGACGGGACGGTTCCGAAAGGCTTGAGGACACTTCCTCCTCGGCTGAGCCATAGATGGCACTTAGTTCCGAGTGCTCGAACGAACTGCTCCTTCACACGTGTGCCAGAAGCACATGCCATGAGACCACTCCTGCCGCTGAGGTTGATCGATGTCACTCGCCTCCCCGCGATCCCCAACTTCCTCTGGGGCCTGGGTGGCAGCTCCCTGCCCTTTGGGGCCAGCCCTGGTGTGGCCACTGTTTTCAGTGGGCACCGGGACTTGAGAAGTACAGCTGACCCTCGCCGCCAGGAGACAAACACCAGATGAACGAGGTGTGACCGAATGAAGCGCTTGAGTAAAAGGACCATGGCTGCCGTAGGCCAGAATCAGAGCAACGCATGGGAGCGGGGGCCTCAGAGAGCATCCAGCCCCATGTTGGGCTCCACAGGAAGAGCTCTGAGGCCAAAAGGGAAGAGACCACCCATGCCGGGAAGAGAACGAAGGCTGACTCCTGGGGCGCTGCAGAAGGAGTTTGTGTAAGCCGTGCTCTGCTCCAGAAGTAAATACCTGTCATGTTTAGGGGCACCCATGCCCATTTGGTCTCTGCTGGGCCAGCCTGCCGGACAGAAATCCATGAAGGTCCTCACCCAGACCTGGAGAAAAACTCACTGTAAAGCGCTGCAGGATGAACGGCTGGGCCCGCTGGCCACTTCCGGGGAGCGTGAGACATTCAGGTGGGCTCCACGACGGCCCTGAGGTATCCCCTGCAGCTCCAGGGTGACCCTGATGTCACGGGGCTGACCGCACACTGGCCTTGTCCTGGAGTCCAGAGGCAGCCAGAGCTGGGTGCTGCTCTGAGGCCCAGGAGGACAGAGGGAGACCTTGGCCCCTGTTCTAAGTGCTCCAGGCCTCAGTGGCCGTGGCCTCTCTGCCACTGTCTTTCCCCTTCCCCCGTTGTCCCGGGCAGGACTGTCCATCCATTCCCAGCCGGCACAGCCTGGTCCTGTGTGTGCCCCTCTGTCCGGCATGCCCTGGTCCGGGGTCTTCGCGGTCAAGCCCACCAGTGGTGGTGGCTTCTCAGTCAGGAATGCGCAGGCTCACTCTGAAGCCCGACTCCCTCCCCTCCTTTTGCCCTAGGCTGCCCCTGGAGGACCGGCAGGAGAAGCCAGGCT